TGCATTGAAATTGAGGCGAAATATGTTTTAGACCATCTTACGTTCATGGGCGATAGAAGACAAAGTGACTATTCTCGAGCGTTCGCTTTGACTAATTTTCGGCAAAAGAAGCACCGTAAAGAGGAAATGTCCCAAATGATTAGTTCCGAATTGAGTTTCAAACCCATCCTCTGTTTTCCCTTCTGGGCAGATCATTATGCCGGCATTATTTACCAGCAGATCAATTGAAGGTTCCTTGTCCAAAATTGTATTAGCACAATTTCGGACTGATTGCAGACTTGTGAGGTCCAACGGTTCTATCACCAGTTCTCCGAGTTTGGCTGTTGATTGGCAAGAAGCCTTAATGTCGTCAGCTGCAGCTGCTGCCTTTTGCTGGTCTCTGCATGCCATTATTACTCGAGCCCCTTTAAGAATTAAGATTTTCATTACATGGTGGCGATTGGTTGACCTGTAAATGAAACGCTCGTGTACCTCTTTCAAAGAAGTCCTTAGCTGTAACTTTTCCGATACCAGTATTGCATCCTGTAATGACTGCCGTTTTGCCATCAAGTCTTGCTGCAGATGTACATGCGGCGCTGAAAAACCCCATTGCGAGAGTACTTTACCAATCAATCGAAGTCACTGCGTTGCGAATCACTTCACGCTGTGCTCAACTAGCCGAGCTTAAGGTTGGTGCCTCGAGTAACCGGTTTATCTATGAATTGTTTTATTTCTTCCAGCTTTGGGAGTTTTTGCCTTGGAATTCTATCGATCCCACCTATAAATATAGTAGAATAAACTTTAGATACGACGTAAAATTTGCTGTACTGTAATCAATCACTCAAGTTGATCAGTTTTGTTTGGTACAAGTCATCACAGATTACCAAACGATAGATAAAGTGATAAAGACGAGACCAAACCAGTCATGCTTAGTCATGCTGACGATAGAACCAATTTGGAACCCATAGATGAAGGCAAGTAACCAATGAACTTACTTTATACACATGGGCAAGAAAAAGTTATTATGTGCGAGATATCCCTATTTTTTGTGTTAATTAGAGATCTATTGTGGCCAATGAATACTTGCAACGGTAAATTTCCGATAATATTAACGTTACTTATTTAAAACAAGACAGCGGCAGATTGTAAAAGGCAGACAATAAAGTGGATTTAAACAATCTTCGTTTCATGTATAACATGACATGGCAAAGACGTCTTTCCCACAGTGGGTAAATCCACCATTTTATCCACACTGATGGTTTCATTACAGTTTACTATTCATTATTTTCATTCGTTCTACTTTTACTTTAATAAGTTGCAACACACAAATTGGCACCGACTTTAAAAACTCTCATTCCAAAACTATTGATGAAACTTTGTGTTGAGAATTTATTTTGCAAAAATTCCTCACGGTGCTAAATGTACATTTTCAAACTGCCCGCCATTCAGCGTGGTCAGAGCTGCCAAGATCCTCGCATGTGAAATATCTAGGCTACCGCTAGACGCCAGAGTCATTATCCACAGATCACTGACGTCTGTGATCTGTGGTTATTATCAGTCACCACTATGACACAGATCAAATAGTGTCTGGCAGAGTGTGAATCTCTGTGATATGCGGTGATATACTTGTCTTCATCTATGGTGATATGCGTGTCACATTTTCGTCTCTTCCAGTGTGAGTCCGCGTTTTCCAGACGTTCCCTTACCCCTGGATCATCTTTCTTTCGTGTATCTTTACTTGAAATCGAATTAAAAAATATTCACGGGCAATGCCAAGCAATTAAATTTTGAAAATTACACATAGTTTTCTATATGCGGAGCTTTCTTAACTCTCTTAACGAATTTTCCATGTGCAACTGAAAAATGAGGATAAAGTCGGACAGTACACTATAAAAGCAATCGCCACTTCGTCAATTTGCCATGTCTTTTAATGCGGATGGAGACCTGGAGCTCAAAGTTCGAAAAGGTACGAAAGCCTGATGATGAACCTTATTAAAACTAGCCAACCATCCAAACAGCCATTCTAAAAAAAACATGTTTCAGCGACTGAACGGATTTCTGAAAATATGCATATAGTGGCAAATGAGCCTTCCCTGGCATTTTACCGGTTGCAGGAGCACGTTAGAAAAGCCCTGAATCCTATGGTTGATCGCAGGACCGATGTGAACAAATTACAAACCGAGCTGCAGGGCAGATGTTACGATATGGACTACGCATCAAGGTTACCAGCGACCCATTCATCTCCCATCAGTAGCACATAAGTACCTGTTTTTCAGTGCTCTGAAATCTATGCAAAAGGCTGATGAAATCTTCGATAACATTCGTGAAAATCTGAAGAATGCCATTTTCCTAAAGCAGCAGCTGAAATATGAAGAGTCAAGGAGGAGGAAGGCAGACTCCAGTTCAGTCTACAAGAGGCTCTCAGCACACATTACTTTGGACTTACCGGAGCTGCCAGAGCTCTCCGATGTAGTGAGAGAAACTGCCAATCGAGTGGAGAGCATGATGAGCAAAGCAACTCATGCTTCCAACAGCTAATGACTCGCAACACCATAGAAATTCTCAATTGTGATAATGTACTTCTGCTGAATTGTAATAGTTATACATATATATTGCTTCTTTGTTTTGTTTGTACAAATAACTTTATAATAAATATTATTGCACCATTAAAAAGGAAGTATTTTCTTTCAAGTCTCTAAGTCTCTACAATACAAAACTGTATTCAAAAGGAAATACAGTAAAGTCCGCTTATAGTGAACTTTCGGTTAAAACGAACTTTTTTCCATTAATTGAAACGTTAACAAAACAAATGTTAGATGTAAGAAGTTAAAATTATCTGCACATGAAGAGGTTGACACGGGACTTATTAAGTGGTTTACTCAAAAAGGACAAGAAAACGTTCCCATAACTGGCAGTGTTTTGCAAGAAAACGCTAGTGAAATGGGGAGTAAAATAAAAAACAAAGAGTTTGCTTGTTCTAAAAGTTGGGAAGAGCGTTTCAAAAAGAGGCATAATATCAGAAGCGGAAAAATTGTTGGAGAGTGCCGGTGAAAAATCCTTCTTAGGAAAACGTTAGAGGCGATCGATGAAAATGAAACATTTTCTATAAATCTCTTAGATGCAGTCAATTTCATTCATAGAGCTGGGCAAAAAGTTAGCAGAAAAACCATTGCAAATTGCTTTAAGCATGGGGATTTGTAATAAAACAAAATGATTATGAACGAGACGATGAAATTCCACTTAACGAATGGTTAGAAAAGTATAGACTCTGACTACGAGTATGAAACAGACAAAGATGTCCCAATGTTGTCGAAGAACAAGTTAAAACCAAATTGAGTGATTTAAATTTCTTCGAATATGTGAGCATTGATAATGATATTCTTACAAGAGAAATGTTGACCGATGAGCAAATTATAGACTCCGCAACCTCATCTACAGCTTTAAGCAATAATGAGAAAGATGACGATTTAGGTGAAACGTATTCTACTGTAGACACTAACGCTGTTCCAACGATTTCTGAAATGACAAAAAAAGTGTCAGAAACACGGAATTTTCTACAATCACGCCAAGTTCCCAATCATATCTGGGAGTCCTTTTGTGATCTTGAAAACTACATAAATAACATCTATTTTTACAACGGAAATGTACAAACAAAAATTACAGACTTTATGAAGTAGATTTCAAATTTAATTTTGTTTATCTTTTTGTGTTCTTTTTAGTCATACCGACTAACTTCTACTACTCTATGTAAAAATAACGAAATAAAATACACCATGTGTTTTTGTATTATTATTCGCTTATAGCGAACTCCGGATATAACAAATCAGTTTTAGTTCATTTTTCACGTTTGTTATATCCGGACTCAACTGTATATAATTTATTTCACATACGTTCTAAGACCCTGAAATTCAAATGCCTTTCTTAATAAATGAGGACTAATTGAATTTTGATTAGCAACATTTAATGTTAAGTAAGATGTTACTTGATGGTTTGTAATCAAATTCGCGCTAATATATTCAAGGTAGTTCATAAGCATGCAAGGAAATTATTCTTCAGGAAATCTGACTTGACAATAACTTTTAATTTCAATATCAGGAGAGCAGCCACCATGCAGTCCAATCTCCTTCAATAAAATATATTTCAACCTGTAGGCGATATTAAACTGGTCAAAAATAATGTAGGTTTTCAATTTTTCGCGTTAAATACACATCCAAACCCCAAAAACACAGTTTATGCAGCCCAAAAAACGCCCATCACTTATCGTTTCACAAATAATAAAACTTGAGTGGTACCTATATATGTTTTTTAAGTCGCAACATTGAATTTGCGAATGCTCTTATTGAGTAAACACCGCTGATTATCAATCCTCTGTCGATTATAAAAGCAACACGATAATTTTTTCTGCCAAAAACATGTTGACAACGGGGGATGTGACTTAAATAAATCTATAAATATTTGAATAAATATCAGTTTAATTTGATGTTATCAAAATACAGAAACGCATCTTCTTGTTATCACTGAATTACACTCACAACAGATTGAAGTCGACTTTTCCAAAAGCGTATTGAAAATTGCAGTTTTTCCTAAAGTGTCTGTGCCGGTTAAAAAAACGTAAGCTTTAAGTGGGATAAAACATAATGGAACTCACAGTTATATAATAATCCACAAGTAATTAAGTAATTTGAAAATATTTTTTTTAAATGTACCTGTAGTATTGAAAGCCTATTTTTAATACAACTAATTGAAATAACCCTGGATTAGTAATTAGAATCGAATTCAGCTATAGCAGGTAAATCACCTACCTAATGTGAAAGAGCCTGGCCTTACACCCACAGGCTAAAAATTTCAATGATCTTAATATTTCTGCTAAAACCTTGATATCGACGATTAAATCCGCGAAATTAAGTGATTGAAATATTATTCATCTAGAAAATAAGCGCTTCAAGTTCAAGTTTCAAATGCAACATTTAACAAAACCCCTAGCAGGATGTGAAAACCTGCGAGTATGTAAATTTAAACAAATCAACTAAATCGTCAATCGGCGCTTTAAATAGATCAACCAAAACGAACGAAATAACACGGCATTTTTTACTCAGATGAAGAGAAAAAACCCGATGAAAAAGTACCTAATTAAAATTTAATCAATTATACGTTATGTATAACAACATGAGATGAGATTAGAAATTCCCCAAATAAAAAACCCAGACGTACAACAATGGCATGCTAATTAAGAATAAACTGAATGAAGGTTGATGGCAGGTTACTGAAGAAAACGATTCAGATGATAAACAAATATTTAAATTGATGAGAAAGCACGTCATCCGCGAATTCCACTTCCGGACAGATTACTTAAAATATGGAAAACACAACGACGGGTACCCGTTTTTTCGCGCGATTCGGGAGACGAAAGAACCTTCAGTAAAATCTTGAAATTTCTTCAAGAACAACCAGACCATTTCTGACGGTGGGGACCACCATATATTACGATCTAAGACATACAGATCGGCAGTTAAGCAAAAAGTGCAAGAAAACAATAAAGTCTAAACATCTAACTTGTGCTTAAACCATCATGATCAAGTTTGTAATTTTGTTCGGGCTTTGCGCGCAAATTTTCGCGCTTCCTGCTGGACTAAATAATGCTAAGGGTAAGCGAAAAGCTGAAAATATTTCAGAAAAAGTGCAAAAGTGAATAGTGAGCGCAAAGCATGTATGTACCTACATTGACCATTTTTAGAGTTAACCAGAGCAGTGCGCTCTGCCGATCCGCACCATTACAAAAAACACGGTGGGTCAGGAGGTTACTTTGGTCAGGGAGGCTACGGAGGTGGCTATGGGGGTGGTTATGGAGGTGGCTACGGAGGCGGCCATCCTGGAGGTGGCTATGGAGGCGGCCATCCTGGAGGTTACTATGGAGGATACCCGAGCGGTTATGGCGGAGGGCAGGCTCAAGCCCAAGCCCAAGGTAAACCTAATAAATACGAAGGCATCTGGTCAATCACTGGGGCTGAAACGCTATAAAATCGACATTTAACCAATGTAAAAATTAACTTAGCTCAAGCTGGAGCTGTTGGAGGTGGCCATGGAGGAGCAGTGGCTCAAGCACAATCTCAATCTCAATCGACGTCCTTCGGATTTGGGCCTTTTGTGGCCAGTTTCTCTCAAGCCCAAGCGTCAGCTAGCGCCGGGGGAGGCGACGGGGGCTTATAGTAAGACAAATGGCGATGAAGAAAATGTTTCAGACACTTTACTTCAAATTTCAGTTATTAAACAAGGGCCCGATCACTTCTTTGGCAAAGCCACAACTCTGAGAAAATACCAAACTTTGACTGAAGAGATAGAAATGGAAGATCGTCGCTCTTAGTGGTTAATTTAGCAATTAGTTAAGTAGGTGTAAATAAGTATCAACTAGTCCTTTTTGTACCACATTTATTTATGTTCAATAAATATTTAGCAGAAAAGGCTTTAGCTTATTTATTCCGCAATAGTTCAACTGCTGGACGATTGAAGTCCGTTAAAACAGAAATAACGAAGTGGTGGACCAACGAGTGCAAAAATGCGACAAAGTTTCCAAAGTTCAATGGATAATAGTAGGTATTTACAGCATCGTTTGGAAATTTTCAACAATAATAACAGAGAAGCTCCAATGTCTAATAATTGCTATAGTTTGGACAACCACAAGTGAACCTCCTAAATATAATTAGGCTGTTGGAAATTAGCGGTTTACCCTAAAGGCTATATATTAAGTCTATAAAACCAAAGGTCATATTATGTACAAATTGAGTATAATTACCTACTCGCTAAAATTTAATAGTGTTTGTGAGATAAAGAAGGCAATACCGTTTAAAAATATACGAGATCACAGTTTAGAGTTTGTTTTTGCTCCAAGTTTAGCGAAAAAATGGGTATAAAAAGAAACGCAAAATTTAATTAAAATCTACTAAACCCTTGGGTCTCGCAGACCCATGTTAAATGTATTTGTCACTTAAACCCTGCATATTTTAATAAAATTAGTTGTAGCCATGCGTGCCATTTAAACTAAACTTGGAATTAAAAATTACTTAGTCAGTGTAGCTAAAAGCTGCCAGCTTAATACTTCTTTGTTTTAGTTTTCTTCGTGCTCTGTCGAGTTAATAAGTTTATAGCCTTTCGGCCTTTTTCTAAAATACACAAAACCTAACACTAAAAATAATATTGTCCAAAACGTTAACACTAATATCACTCTATAATACCATTTCTCTGATAGAACGTCGTAAATAATGTTCGAAGGATAGCAATAGCTTGCTGAGCCGGACGGCCTATAAAGCGCTGCATCAGAAAAGCATTCTGTGCATTGATAATCTAAAGATCCACTGCACTCCTTACAACTATAATGGCACTTAATACATTTGCCATTACTGGCTAAATTAATTCCGTCGTATTTTTCGGTTAAATCGTTCCTACTGTCATAGAACCCCTGCGTGCAATTTGTTATACATGTCCCATTGTATAACAATAAGCCCCCGTAACATTCTAAAAAGAAAAAAAGCTATAATTTTATTCAAAGCTATTCCAGCAGTCAGTTATGATCCAGGTTAGTAAGAGAAGAAATATGATGATATATACATGGTGGCGTTCCTATAAAATAAACGAGACTAAATAACCAAAATCTGACAACAATTTCAACACAACATGTCATGCATCTACAAGTAAAAACAACTTACCCAATATTAAGGACGTCCATGTAATTGCTCAGCAGGTCCTTTACATAAAGTCTCACTGCGAGTTTATTTATTAATGCTGTCTTTTACACACGCCAATCCTGAACATATGATTTTACAAAACAACAAAAGACATAGAACTACTACTCGTGCGCTATTTAACAAGACCGCATCCTATCAACCCCATTGATATCTGTACAAGTTAACACAAAATAAACTGTTAGTCACGGGAAATCTAAAAAATAGGCAGATTTTACCACAGTTTTTATTGTATTGTAAATTTTACAAACAGTAGTAGGGCTTACAATATAGCATAAATAACAACAAAGAGCTTTTAATGGTTTTGCCTGCAATCCATTCAAGGCTTTATATACAGAAACGGAACGAGACAAAACCATCAGAGACTCATATTGGCCATCATAATATAGTGTACATCAATGTATGCCACAAGTCAGGTTACAATATGGCCGAGACGATCACACAATCAAATTCACACTTTTGAGCCATTTTAACGAAAAAGAAATATAACCTTCCCTCATTTCGATATGTGTAACTTAACTAGCTAATAGTCATTAAGTGATATTGTCCGATTATTTAAGGAAATCCTTAGATCTAACAATAATAAACTCCACTCACACAATCTTATTCATATAGCTACCTACCAATTTAGGCGGAATTTTTCGTTAGTTATCAGCCAAAGCAAACTATATCATTTAATTTGTTTCCTGCCAGCCCGAAATACCGAAAATTTTACCAGTGGGAAATTATTTAGTTTATTAACAATTTATGAATTGCTGATCAACTGTTCAGAGCAATTGCTTAAAATTTTCCCAAGCCTTTAAAAATTGCCATTCTCTTCTAAATCTAATTAACTTATAGGGCTGCTATCTTTAATAAGTGTAGACACCTTAACGGTAAAAATTGCTAAAAAATCAGTAATAACCAACAGCAGAAGGTTATATTTCCAGTGCACATCTAATCCTAAACATATATTATGTAATAGATACTAATTTTGATTCGTACGTTTTGATTTAAAGAAAACTTTTGCGCTGCCAGAACTTGCACTGAAGGTAGTAATTCGCTTCGAGCAGGCTTGTCCGGTCGCAAAATGATATTTTGTTCAAACTGCTGGAAAAAGGCCGTCGAACAAGTGTGCTCTTAGCGTAAACCCCATATCGATTGGAGGCGATGGAATAGATGGGGAAAGTAAACTGTAAAAGCAATTAATAAAATGACTAGAAATATTTGTTGTTAATGCCTCTCGCGATTACAGATTCAGACTTTAACAATACAAAGTATTACTTGTTTGAAAACTATCGTAACTAATTATTAGTTCAATCACTAGAATGCTCTATACGATTCATTCAATTTGGTATTTGCTCACTTGCACGCAAGCAAAGGAAATGACAGGAAGTATCAACACTAAAATTGCATGCATCCACGTATACCTTAAAATTAATGGTTAACATATACGTTCAGGAACTACTTTTAACATACAAGGAATCCGAAAATTAGTTTATCGTGATGTCAAATTATTCAGTAGACGACTCGGAATTGAAAATTTCAAAATTATAATAAATAAAAAACTAATAGGATCGCATTTCCAAATTTATGGATACCTTGCACCAACGTTAAATAAAGTGAGTCTTTAAATATTATATACAATAAACAATCACAGTAAATTATTAACTTACTAAATATTAACTAAAGAACCGTTATAAACGGATAGTCGGATAACAGTAAATTCAAGCACCTTTCGAGTTAGGTGAAGGTAAACAGTTCTATTTTGCACACAGAACTGCCGGCTTGTGCAAACGTTATTGATACTTTTACGAATAATTGCACTTTAACCATTTACTATTACACTACTTCCTATGAACATTTACTTCAACTTATTGGGCTATCCTGACCCACTATACGTTATTACTTCAGAAAACTAACGAATTTGGCACACACATCTTAGTCAACCCCATTGATATTTTTAGCTCTGTCCCATAATCTCAAATAACAAAAAGCAAAACGATATTTTAAGTAACATGAACCACATCCACAAAACGACTGAATTACCCTGGCTAACAGTGAGTGTAAAAATGCCACAATATTTCTTCAGTTATAAAAATCACATCACCAACACTCAATAACAATCACCAACGATTTATTGACAAATAATATTCTACTGAACTGAAAGTATTGATTTAAATGAACTCGTTCGGCCACTATCTTTCGACTAATACAAAGGTGACTGTTACTGAAAATGGCACAATGCAAAATCCGTATTGGACTCTGGTATCAAAAGTGATTTTTTAAAAGATGGCAGTGAAGCACTTCAACTAGTTATTTTGTAATACTATTCATAAAAACAACAAAGATATGATCATTTCATTGATAATAAAAAATAAATACTCAGCATTGTTCAACAAAAATATTAAGTAACTAACTATCCTTCTTCAGGTACAGTATTGAAAAAATATTTGCAATTAATCAGTTAAAACAGCCATTTTCCTATAACGTAAGTTTTATGTTTTATGTTTTCTGAGTAGTAGCTAAACACAAAATGACATTTTTTAAATTAGATCACAGATAATAATATCAATTTAGTTACAATGCTCCGACAGAGAAAAAAACGCAAATAAGTACGTAAAACAAGATTTTATGTGAGTAAGATAACGGCTGCTTTTAATAGGTATTTTAAGGTACTGTACATAAAAATTACAGCTAAAGATAAATAAAAAAGTAACTTAATTATGAGTTTTTGTTGCTGGGTACTACTGTACCTGAACAAAGAAATCTACGTGAACGTGTTAAACATTGGCCAACCGTCGTAAAAAATCTGGCTATAAAGGAAGCATGTTTTCGTAAAAAAATTATGTGAAAATTGTTGTCAGAATTTTGCACTAAAGTAGTTATTTCTCTCACAGCAAAGATAATTCGATTTACTAACCGTCCTTCGTTATTTACAAACAAATGTAAAATAAAAATTAGTAAACTAATGGGTATTAGTAACACAGAAAGGAAGTCGGTATGTAGAGATGAACGCAAGTACGATACTGAAATAAAACACAACAAACCTAAACAAAAATTGCTGTTCGCATGTTTGCATGACGACGATGAGCTCTTCTGTTTTTCTTCTACTTCTAGCGTATCTTTGCGATTCTAGAAAAGAATAATTTTCCAATTAACATCGAGTTACGAAATCAAACACAAGAATGTGTCTAACCATTCTAAAAAAATAAAGAGCACCAAAGAATCATTTTTGTCCGGCACAGTTATTTATTATTTTATCAATATGGCGTAAATTATGAACCCCTACCTCGGCTCCGTTTTTCCAATTCGCAGAGGAATCAATTGAGTTATGCAAAACATCGTTATATAGAACTGGAATCGTGCTATCTGCCTCTTTAGATTGCTTCAAATCGTATGCAGGACGCGTTGCAGTTCCATACAGCGTCAAATCCCAGTACTTAATGTCTGCTAAAATGCACCTTTAATTAATTTGCGGCAAAATAACAAAAACTTCAATATAAAATAAGGTCATGGAAAAGAAAAAATACTACGTAGCGATGCCTTTAGCGGAGGTATTACTGAGCTGTGAAGTCAGCATTTCACAGTATTTGTCCGAAAACAACGCCATGATAACTAATGATGCTTAAGGATAAAAAAAAACATTCGGCCAATGCTATATGTATATGAAATAAGAACATTTTTATTTGGTGATTATTACCTACTGAATTATATTCTTATGCTTCCTGGGTCTGAGTCAAAGTGTGAAGTAAACATTTTGAATATCGTTTATTTCATTACGTTTCAGCAAGACAACAACGCCATCATCAGATTAAAAAAAACATTATGTATAAAAGTTTCCCAATTATGAGTTTGTGTAAATTTTAAATCTGATGATGGCGCTGTTGTCTCGCCGAAACGATATTCAACATTTTTACCTCTCACTTTGACTGAGACTCAGGAAGGATAAGAATATAATAACAGTTTCACGCAGTCAGGAAAATAAATAAAAATTAATTACTGAACGTGAATAAATGCAGCAATCTAATTTTGGCTAAAAAAGCATTACATCTACTCCAAAAAATAAGCCTCAATACAAAAAAAAGCGGTTAAACAAATTTGAGTATTTTAACATGCAGTTAAATTACCCTTCGATTCTTTATTGCATGGTTTGTCACTTGGCTTGGGAAAAAACGGTTTCATGTTGGGATTAAAATTCGACGATTGAATGTCGCGACTTTTTTCCTTTAGTTTTTGGCTTTTCTTATAACTTTTCTTGTCGCTGGAGTCTCTTGCGGGTATCATAACCGGGTACGTAATAGTGACGTTTTTAACGAATTTTAAATAGTGTTTCACCATTTGCTCGTGGTCCAGATTCACTTTACTATCGGGAACTGCATAGAAATACGGAGAAAAGTCGCTTGTTGTGCTACTGATTGTACTGGTAGGAAGAGACGTCTTCGCTTTACTTTTGGAAGCGCTATTTAATATCGTGTTGTTGAGAATGTTAGCAACTATCGTATCTTTAACAGGCCCAATTTGCTTTACTTTGGGTTTCGACAGAATTTTCGGCGGTCTCGTTGTGATAACCGATAGCCGCTGGTTTTTAAGCTTTGGAAACGTTTTTTGTTTGGGTTTATTCTTTTTAGAACCTCTGGACGGTTTTTTATTCGGTTTGAGAGGCTCATTCGTATTTGAAGATATTGACTGAAACCGTTTCGTTCCATATAATAATAAGGACCAATTCTGAAGCGTTGCTCTTCCTGAAATTAATAATAGCGAAATGTTAGAATGTTAGTAAATTCGCCGAGACAGATTAGCTTCAATTTGATAAACGGCACTTAATGGGCTTTCTGTATATACAAACACCTCAATGGTAACAATGCAAGTAAAGCGATTGGATTAGTTAGTAAAATTAGTTATTAATCAAGTGCCTCCTTATCATCATTTGGCCTATTTAAGTCAACTATAAACGAAACTAAGCTTCACGTCAGCCTCGAGAGCTATCTATGTTATACCTGTAAAGTTGTTGATAAGTAACGCAATCCAAATTGTTTAGTTTTTGTTTCAATACAATAAAAATGTTCTTTATTTACCCATTAGACGGCCATCGTTGTGAATTTCAAGTTTCCAAGTACCAAATGGCGATTCTCCCCATGAATGGACCGACATGAAAGGCCAATAGCTGAACCCAGCTCTGGAATTATCATGGGTTCGGTGTGCCAAAAGCGTAACTTTAGTCCCCATCGGAGAAGTCAGCTGAATATTTAAATCTCCGCGTCTTTGAGCGAAAATCGTCAACTTGGCCTGGACGTGTTCCAAGATTTCAACCCCATCGCACTCTGTCACTTGCATCGGAATAATTACCTCGCTTTTCGCCGGAATCTGCCTGAAAATCACATGCGAACTTAGAATCTTTACAGGCACAGAATAACAATTATTTATCTAACCAAAATATCTAGTTCGAGGTTCAACTGAAACCCTGCAAAGATTGTATGCGTCCCAGACTTTTATAATACGCTTCAAATCTCCTATTTGAATCCTTCTGCACTGGCATAGGCTTTAGAAGGATGTGACAATTTCCTTTCATGACTACCGATTTATTTGAATTTTTCCTTTATTATAAACTACTTTTACTAGACCTGAATAAAAGAACAAATGTGTTTGCATCTAATACCACATTTTAATCAACTAACAACAATTGTTATCATTCATAGCCAATCCCAAACAGTTCTATAACTGTTTTCAGCATAATATGTGCCTTAAATCTTTATTATGTACAGTACGCTTGCTTCATCCAATTCTCCAAAGTCAAAGATTTACGACTTTTAGTTTGATAATGCGACAATTCGAGCTTAAACGGCTATTCACCCTTACGAGATTGAGTTTCGCTTAAACAGGCAGTGCATACGTATTTCCAATTTAGATTCGTCACGCGATATTCGGAAGGCACAATACTAATTATCGTCATCAGCAATTAATTAAATATATCTGGAATATATCTCTATATCAGATCGCGCGACTGGCTCTAAATGACGTAGGCCTGGGTAACTCACTGAATTTTTAGGAGTTGGCGCAGTGCTACGCAAGTGGCTTGGTGCGCCAACCCAACGCACCGGCGCAATAACTCAGTTCTGTTGGTGGGAAAAAGTTGTTTTTAGAATTCTGAAATTTCCAGTTTAAGCCAAGTTACTCTAGCATGCAAACTTGTATTATAGTGTGCCATCATACACACCATAATACAAGTTTGCAACCCCTTTGATTGGATTTTCTTCGGTGTGTACGGGGTGTTCCTTCCTTCTTTTCTTCTAAATGCTCAATTTTCTAAAGTTAGTTAAGTTAAAATTATGAACAAAATTTCGAATCCTTGGTCGCTTTGTAAAGTTCTGAAATACCTTTCCAGCTTCGAATTTGAAACAGAAATCATACGATTTTTTATTAAAAAACGAACAGAATAAGCGAAAAGTGGTTTTTTAGGTTTGACTGCTTTTTTGCATTACTTTCTACTCAAAAACGCTCTATTTTGTAGTTTCACTTAAAAATACTGACGATCTGGACGTCTTCTACGCGAAAAATTACAAGATAAATGTATAGCTTCGTAAAAATTTTACAAAAGCTCTTTTCAGCGTCGAATTCGAGGTAAAAACGAAAAATAAATTCCTCCCGTTTTTCCCAGAAACCCGTTAAGATTTTCTCCAAACCCATCACAAAACTAAAAGTTTTTAGTCGAAAACGCAAAAAACAATTATTTTCTAACAATAATCAGCCAAAAATCACAAAATTAATTTTGCTTGAAAATTCGCCTCATTCATCGATTTGCACGAACTTTAGAAACCTCTTTTTAGGTTCGAAATTGGCACAAAAACCAAATAATTTTATTCAATTTTTAACGAAAGTAATTAAGATTATCTTGAAAAACGACCAGGAAGTAATAGTTTACAAAAAAATTATTTGGAAAATTCGCCGACCACATCGCTCTGAAAATATTTAGTTCCTTTAAATTTCCTGGTCATTCTAGTTTTAACAAAGTTTCTATTAAGCAATTTTTTCTACGCAAAAATCGCATTATTTTAGTTAAAATACTGACAATTTTCAGATATTTTCTGTGAAAAATTATGAGATAGATTTTATTGGAGCACTCGCCTCCTTAACAGCTTTGCAAACATTTTTGGAAAACTTTTGGCAGGTTTGAATTATGGACAAAACCGTAATAATGAATTCTGGGTCTTTTTCCAAAAATATTTCCCCGAACTGAAAAAGCGAAAGTTTAAAATCATTTATTTGGAAAACTCTTGGAATCTGGGGTTTCTTCACGTTTAGGTCAATATTTCTGATCAACACTGTCACTAAACAGAAAAACCGGGTTTTTCCTAACGTTTTACTGTAAAATACTGGCAACTCTTATTATATTCTTATCTTTCCTGGGTCCCAGTCAAAGTGTAAAGTAACAATTTTGAATATCGTTTATTTCATTACGTTTCGGCGAGACAACAGCGCCATCATCAGATTTAAAATGTACACAAACTCATTCGTTTAGGTCTTTGCCTTCTGGAAACCTTAAGTTTGTCTCTCTTAAATCGGACAAGGCAAAGAGCTAAAAGAACGAAATATTTACCAATTAGGAGTTTGTGTAAATTTTAAATCTGATAATTGTTTATGATTTGCATTCGCTTTCAATTTCGTTTGTTATTGTTCTTGACCTATCTTCTCAAACACTTTCAATGGAGCATGTACAGAAGAAAAACAAACAACCCGCAAACAATTTGAAAATTTAGTAGTTTGTGGACAAAAATAAAGTTAATTTTCAAGACCATTTACTAATTGTTCTAATAAAGCTAACCTTATGAGACCACCAAAAGACA